TCTGCACAGTGGCTAAAAATAAACTAAACGGGCCACTTACGTATATCTGCGTCGAGCGGCTTCGAAATCTTTTGAGCTGTTAATAACGCTTTCGTACAAACATATAGGGATTATTGTGAGTCCTTGGAACTACCAGGCTCTCTTTTCTATCTTTGAAGTATAAACGATTACGTCAAAGCCTAAGAACTACCGCAACTGCCCGGCGTCCTGCCTCGCCGGCGAGAATCGAGTTTATGGTCCCCGACTAGCTGCACTGTCGTTTCATACCTGTCGTTTCTAAAATATTTCAGATACGACCATAACACTTCAGGATATTATTCTACAGATGTTAAACTGTCAAAAAATGCAAAAAAAAAATTCGATTTTTTCAAACCGTCACACTAGGTAAGCCCCTTAAACGTTGATTTTTTATAAACGTGTGTATTTATTTCCTGGTTATGAGTGAGCGCAACATTTCATGGGAGTCTGTCCGGTATTAGAATTGTCGGACGGATTGTGAGCGGGTTTACAAAAAGTGTAGTGAAAAGTGAACAGTGACAATGAAATGATGCACATGCTGAGGAAGACACGAGGATAGACCTCAGTGGTTCTAGAGGCGTCCTGCTTTCAGCTGACTGCTGCCGGAGAGCTACTGACCACGCAAGGGAAGACGAAGGACGCACTGCGAAAGATTCTGTAGGCAGCAATGGAGGAGCTACGGAGGGTGTATGAAGTTGGTACCCCGTTTTTCGAAATTTATAATTTTGAAAGTTGTTCCAAATTGTTCTGACTTTGTATTACATTGTTTCAAAGTGTTATTGCTTCATTCCAAACGGTTTTCGAATAAAACAAAAAAAAATGATTTTTTGAGCTGTCACTCCTTTTTTAAAAAATCGAATATTTCGATACCGCTATAGATTGTTTTAGTTGTTCCAAACATTGTTCCAAAAGGACAAATTCATAAGTTGAATTATAAGTCCGAAAAGTGAAAAAAATGTTTTTTTGACAAACAGTCTACCGGACCAAGAGTAAACTTATACTATCTTTCTTGTTCCAACCGAGTCCTTTTTGTTCTGAATTGTTCTAGACTTAAAAATTATAGTTCTAAAGTGTGCATCTCGTACCATTATTCGTTCTCCCAAAATTCGAAAAAAATCGATTTTCCAGCACCCGACGTCAAGAGTAAATACATATTTTTTTTCTTGTTCCAACTGAGCGCTTTTTGTTCTGAGTCGTTCTAGGCTTAAAAATTATAGTTTTAGAGTATGTATCTCTTAAAAAAAGTATGTGTTTACTCTTGACGTCGGGTGGAAAATCGGTTTTTTTTTTTTCGAATTTTTGGAAAACGGATGATGGTACGAGATTCATACTCTAAAACTATAATTCTTAAGCCTGGAACAACTCAGAACAAAAAGCGCTCGGTTGGAACAAAAAAGAAAACATGTATTTACTCTTGACGTCGGGTGCTAAAAAATCGATTTTTTTCTAATTTTGGGAGAACGGATGATGGTACGATGATACTCTAAAACTATAATTTTTAAGCCTAGAACAACTCAGAACAAAAAGCGTTCGGTTGGAACAAGAAAGAACATGTGTTTACTCTTGACGTCGGGCTGGAAAATCAATTTTTTTTTAATTTTGGGGGAACGGATGGTAAGACGAGATTCATACTTTAGAACTATAATTTTTAGGTCTAGAACAATTTAGGACAAAAAGGGCTCGGTTGTAACAAGAAAGATAGTATAAGTTTACTATTGGTCCGGTAGACTGTTTGTCAAAAAACTTTTTTGACACTTTTGTCACTTTTCGGACTTATAATTCAATTTATGGATTTGTCCTTTTGGAACAATGTTTGAACAACTAGAACAATCTATAGCGGTATCGAAATGTTCGATTTTCGAAAAAAGGGGTGCCAGCTCAAAAATAATTTTTTTGTTTTATTCGAAAACCGTTTGGAATGAAGCAATAACACTTTGGAACAATGTAGTACAAAGTCAAAACAACTTTGGAACAACTTTCAAAATTATAAATTTCGAAAAACGGGGTGCCAACTTCATATACCCAACTACGGATGTTGTGAGAGAAACAGCAGAAGCCGTGGCCGAGATGAGCCAGAAGAACATCTCTTGATAGGTCAATGTCATTCCTCTGTGATTAAATTTAGGCCGAACATTTATGACGAAAGTGAACCGCTATATGAATATCTCGCGTAGTTTGATTCGGTGGTGCAAACGAATAGGAAGAGAGGGGAAAAGTAATAATTCTTGAGGTAAATTTAAGAGGCAAGGCGCGTTCGGTATTAGAAGATTTAGATAAAGATCTTAGTCATTTAGAATTAAAATCTAAATTAGAATTATGTTTTGGAAAGGTCCTTATGAAAAATAGTAAAAAAACTAAGTGATGTAGTCTGTTGTATCCAGTTGTCTCCAAGATATAAAAAGAAAATAGTTCATGCAGATAGATTAGCGTCTTTTCAAGAAAGAAAATTCCGAAATTTACTATATTTTTAGGAGACCGATAGATTTTGGAAAAAAATGACACTCGTAGATGTAGATATAAAAAACAATTTCCCAATATGCCTTTTTTCATTATTTGTTTTAGGAAAAGGTTTTAGAAAAAGGTTGCTGGATTCGACGGGAGGATTTTTTTGTAGAACATTTAACTAACTTTATTGTAAGTAATTATTGTAAGAAGACTCCTTCATGGTTTTTGACTATAGTTTTTTTTTCTACAGAGCATTGGGCTATCGAGGCAAGGATTTGGAGTGTTCTTAAAAGAGGAACATTGGATCTATGGATATTAACCCCCTCTTGTCCAAAGATGGAGTTTGAAGAGCCAGTACGGGAGACAGTACACTAAACCCAAAAAGGATCGGCATCGCAACTGTTGGATTCTGGATTTGGGATAGTTTTTGATTGGGATTTGAAGAACGACGCTCATTATAATCTGCAGCACCGGTTCAAGGAAGAGCAGGAAGTCATTTTGGTGCCTTAGAGTCAGCACTTCGGATAAAGAATGTCAGAGTTGTCTTTCCTGAGACCTGGAATTGTCGGGACGACAATTCTGAAAAAGAGGAGGAGGAAAGCATGTTGCGTCCGCTCTTTCGAGAATAAGGATTGTTTCGAGAGTCAATTGTTGTTGGTTTTGATGCGAGCGAGGCATCGAATCCTAGACGAAAAAGGAAGTATTCCCCAGAACAACGAGTCAATGCACAAAACAACAGCTAACGACTGAGAGTCGCACACAAACTTCCAAGCCGGGTTGACGTGTGGCGAGTTCAAGATTGTGAAATTATAATTATCTTTAGCACGCTGTAAATATGAGCTTATTAAACTTTGAGTTTTTTTATGAACATGTGTATTTATTTCCCAGTCGTGTGCGAACATGAGCGAGCGAAAGAGTATAATGTATATATTTTTATGTTGGATACTTATACGCGGCTGATGATGGTGACCGCTTATTTCAATACATCATTGCTGTAAGTTGTCCCAAGTAGTGATGCGATTTCAAGTTCGCACACACAAGCATTTTTCCTCCTTCACTTACGTATGCAAAGCACTCTGTGCATCGGTATGATAACGTCATCACACGATTAGACAGAGAATATTTGTGTGCTAAGAGGAAGCGGGCAAACGCGTACATAAGCTTAAAAAAAAGCTCACTCATCCTGAGCCATGGAATGTTTTCCTGTTTCTCCGATTGTTCTTGCAAACCAGCGCGGTACGCGACGTGTGATATCCAATGAGCGTTCTTCGCAAAATATATAGAATTGCTAAAAATATTAACATCTTCGTCAGTTTCTGACGAAGAACCATATGCACATTAGATATCACGCGTTGCGCATTATGCTGGTCTGCGAAGGCCATAAGGCGTCATTCGAAAGGAGAGACAGATAAGAGAGATGGACTATGAGATAAGACCGCTGCTAGCTCATGCCTGCTAATGCCATTGTCAGTTGACCAATAGTGAGACAAAAACGGACAGAGATTCGTTGTTCATCTTTGTTTAACACATTTTATCCATAGACACAGCACGGAAAAGAACTCAAGAATTCCGACATGTTACATGCAGTGCCTCTCGCTGCAAAATGCTGGACTAAAAAGCGTGAAAAAGTGACGTATTGACAGCTGAATTTATTTTTACGTGCCATTTTTTATTATTCGTGGATTTCTGTAACATGTGATATATTCAGGGAACTTGTTAGAAATTCCGAGTTCTCGTTTTTCATGAAATATAATGTCTGGAAGTATAATTTCTATTCGTTTGATTAACTGTTAGACCATGCGTGAATAGCTCTCATTTTATGACCTATTTTACGATTCTGTATTAATTGTTCAGGGAAAAGGGGAAAACTCGGAATTTTTTACAAGTGTGTTGAAGCCATTTCGAATGTTATTTTTGAGGAATATCTTTTTATTTAAAAATGGCACGCAAGAATTCCCAGCATGTCAATTTTTGTCTATGACATCACAATTTCAATATGGCTGCGAAGTATTTAAGGGCCTTGAATCTGTCAGTTATTATGTACTATAGTTGTACATATATTTATCTAAGGATTCTAATACTGAATGGATTGGAATATTTTCCTTTGGAGAGACTGAGAAGAAAGTAGAACTTTCTTCTTGAATTTGTACCATTGCATATTTTATATAATAATAATTTGCTCACATAATGCTAAATATTGAATTTTAAATTATAGAATTTATCAATATATTTTGTCGAAATAACAATAATAAGTTAGGCAAGTGAGAGCTAACGCCCGTGGACAAACGTAAATAATAACGCCAATAATGTAAATAATATACCGCGTTATTATTTACGTTTGTCCACCGGCGTTAGCTCTCAGTTACTTAACTTATTATTGTTATTTTGATTTGTATCTTTGTGAGCTTAGTTTTTTTATATTTAATATAGTTTATATAATTATAAATTAAATTTCATATATATATATATATATAAATGTATCATTAACAATATGTGCATTCCCATCGTTTTATTGTATGTAATATGAGTTATTTTAGTTTGTTTTTCAGTTATAACAAAGTCACAAAAATTTTAACTATTTGGATAGAAATGGGAAAATAATGAAGTACAATATATCGACGTTTGGATGAAGCATTCTACGAGAAAATGATTAGAAAAAATAAGGGCAAATTACGGCACTTCGTATGGTTTCATATTGATGCACTTTCAGATACATTCGGTGAACTACCAGCTTGACGGGATCATGAAGTTCGCATACATGTATTTGTAGTCGAATAGTAGCGAGTCGAATCGAATGTGTGTGTGATCAAAATACTATTTTAACTTTCCTCTTGTTGTAACCCTCGTCACCAACAAAATAGTACTAAAGACTATTGGCCCTGACCATAAAATTTGATATGAGAGACAGGTTACGCTATGTATATATAATAATAATCTCCTATCGATATATTTTATATTAAATCAGCGTAGATGATAAAGATATAGATATATAATTTCACAAAAATATGTAATAGCATCATTTATACTATAGATAGTATATATTTATAAATAATGATAAAACATCGAGATAGTTGTAAATTACAAAATTTATACTTTACTACATACTGTATGTCCATTCATGTACGGGAAAATTATATTTGAACGATATCATCCTTCAAACATCTCCGAGTCTCTCAGAGCCTCTTCGATAGTTACGAACATTTATCCAAAGTTGACAGTCTTCAGTATTATTTCGTTGATGCCCTCGCCGAATGATGCCTGAGTTAACATGAATCCAATAGCATAAAGCCTTGTTATAAATCTGGTTTCATTATAAGTTGTTAGTTTTTAAATTTAGGTTTAAGGTTTCTGGTTGGAGATGAAATACGCACTTATAATATGCGATCGCTTCTTAGTGTCGCAAGAACTAATTCGCACTTACTACAGGCGAAAATATCCTGCATGTTCAAACACAAGCATTAGGATGCGCAGAATCATGATAGTGCTATTCTGTTTATCGACAGCTGTCGGTAAACGTACACGAAATAATACTCTAGGAACTGCATTTTGTATACGTTTGCTAAAAACTAATCATTCGATATGTGACACATTGTACAAGTATAATTATACTGTAAAACAGCTATGTAGCGACACAACAAATCGACAGGTAGGCAGGTATAAAATAACACTCCAAGAACGAATGTACGAAGAGAAGAGGATGGACTTATAACAAGGTTTTATTGTAGACTTTACAATTGATGTCTGTGCAGACAACATTGATGTCAGTATTACGAAGGTTAATTAATAGTACATGGTCAGTCCAGATAATTATATGTCGATAGCTGAGGTGTTATAGATATGGACTGGCCATTGTTTATGTTCAAAGTTTCTATATTAGAAGTAACATCCGGAGGAGGTAGAGGTTAAATAGATAGAAAAACATACTTTTCAGCATTTTTCTCTCTTGAAGAGTCCGGAAGTGTACAACAATGATAACAAACATATGATGCATGATATAGGTCGTGTTCTAATCTTTAGTACCAGTACTCAAAAACTTTAGTTCACGTTATATATATAATTGTAAATTTTCAGTGCTACCAGAGATTTTGTAATAAAAGCAATCTAACATAATCTGAATGTAATAATAATAACAATGTTTTTTTTGCTATCGTGATAATATGCTATATACGTTTTGTTTATGATATCACAATATGTATATCAATCAGAACTTATTATATAGTATAAGCCAAGTATATATATAGGCATATACAGGGTGTCCCATTTAACCTGACAAATCGTAATATCTGGAAAACTACATGTCGGATCAAAAAAAGTGGGTAATGAAATTTGTTCGTCTCGAAGGGGGACATCCAATGATATCAAATTCGACCTCCCACCCTACTCCCGGGGGGTGGGGATAGGGGGCAACTTTGAAATCTTAAATGGGAACCCCCATTTTTTATTGCAGATTCGGATTCTACGCCACAAAATACGTAAGTTTTGTCCGAAACTTTTTTTTTGATTCGTGACAGATGGCGCTGTAATCGCAAAAAATTAGATTTTCTGCAATTCTCCAGAAATGATCATTGGACTAAAAAATAAAAAAATACCTGTTCAATATTTTTAAAAATATTTTTAAAAAACATAATAACAGTTATTCCCTCCATCCCTTCGGGGTAGGGTGGGTGGTAACGTTCAAATCTCAAATGAGAACCCACATTTTTCATTGCAGAATTAGATTTTACGTGAAGTTTTTATGGAAACAATTTTTTTCATTCGTGATAGATAGCGTTGAATTTTTCCGAGAAACTACTTTTAGCGTTACCCAGGAACAACGACGAGGACGTAGTAGCTTTCTGTTCCCTTTGGGGTGCTTGTTTTAGGTGAACACTCTTCAAAAATTGATTAAGCACTTCTCCTGATTAGAAAGGTAAGTGTCTAATAATGATCGTCTCTTAAGTTGTATGGACGCGGACGATGGAGAGATGCCACTAACAAATTAATTATGCAAAATCACCCCGATGGTGAGAGGCGAGGGGATTCACATAAAACAAGCACCCCGAAGGGAACAGAAAGCTACTACGTCCTCGTCGTTGTTCCTGGGTAACGCTAAAGGTAGTTTCTCGGAAAAATTCAACGCTATCTATAACGAATGAAAAAAATTGTTTCCATAAAAACTTCACGTAAAATCTAATTCTGCAATGAAAAATGTGGGTTCTCATTTGAGATTTGAACGTTACCACCCATCCTACCCCGAGAGGATGGGGGGGAATAACTGTTATGTTTTTTAAAAATATTTTTAAAAATATTGAACAGGTATTTTTTTATTTTTCAATCCAATGATCATTTCTGGAGAATTGCAGAAAATATAATTTTTTACGATTACAGCGCCATCTATCACGAATAAAAAAAAAAGTTTCGGACGAAACTTACGTATTTTGTGGCGTAGAATCCGAATCTGCAATAAAAAATGGGGGTTCCCATTTAAGATTTCAAAGTTGCCCCCCACCTCCACCCCTCGGGAGTGGGGTGGGGGGGTCGAGTTTGATATCACTGGATGTCCCCCTTCGAGACGAACAAATTTCATTACCCATTTTTTTTGATCCGACATGTAGTTTTCCAGATATTGCGATTTGTCAGGTTAAATGGGACACTCTGTGTGTGTGTGTATATATATATATATAAAATAAAACCTCGTTATAAATCTATCCTCCTTTCTTCGTACATTCGTTCTTGGAGTGTTATTTTGTACCTGCCTACCGACAACTGTCGATTTGTTGTGTCGCTGCATAGCTGTTTTACAGTATAATTATACTTATGCAATGCGACATATATCGAATGAATAGTTTTTAGCAAACGTATACAAAATATAGTTCTTAGAGTACTATTTCGTGTACGTTTACTGACAGCTGTCGATAAACAGAACAGCACTATCATGATTCTGCACATCCTAATATGCTTGTGTTTGAGCATGCAGGATGTTTTCGTCTATAATAAGTGCGAATTAGTTCTCACGATACTAAGAAGATATTATAAGTGCATATTACATCTCCAATCAGAAACTTTAAACCTAAATTTAAAAACGAACAACTTATAATGAAACCGGATTTATAACAAGGCTTTATTATTCTATTGGGTTATATATATACATACATATATACATACATATTTCCAGACACTTATAGAGAAAAGGATGTTTATTTCTATAACTCTCTCCGGACAAATCCTATTAATTGCCAGTCCATAACTGTAAGGTCTATAGTCGATGGCAACGTATAATGTGTAATTACTTAGATTATGTATTATATCGATGGCTAAAAATTGATATCTCGAACTTAATTGACTAATTAAGCGTCAATTGACCGTGATTGTTTTAATAATTGTGGCAATTTTAACGACAAATGGATCTGGTTAATTTCAATGGAATAATTTTCAATGGAATTGGCCGATTAAGTTAATTGAAAATATTGAAATTAGCCTTGTGTAAAATTTCAAACGAATATAAATGGTAAGTTTTTAACAAATAAAGAGAAAAACAAATCTGGATTATGATAAAATAATCTCATTCTGACGCTGGTAGTGGAACGAGTTTTACATGTACGAGATATCATTTATTAGTTATCGATAACAGAACAGGACGCGATGCGCTATAGAAATGACAATTTAACAGTTTACAAAACAATCTTAATGCTTATAAGCAAAAGTAATTAGCAAATTAGATACTAAATAAATATTTAAAACAAATGAAATTTTCAAAATTCAAGATGAGATTTCCAAAATTTTGTTCATTTGCAACATGTAATTTCCGAAATGGACTTCTCAAAATTTTGTGAATTCAGTGAAAAATAAATTGAAGAAATCTTAATAAAATTCTTATTGTTGTATATAAGATTTAATAATTTTATGTTTGAAAAAATATGAAACATTTTGTAAAACCAATTTAAGGCTTCTGGGTGCTCGCTGTGGCCAAATTGAATAGTAACATTAGAGGTGAGACACTGAAATTTTTTGTGCCATTTTCAACTGAAGAAATATTTATATGAAAGGATGCTTTGGATCGATATCCTATATGAGAAAATATATGAAATTCTTGCAGATAAAATATTAAAATAAAATTTCCAAATAAAATGATACTTGTATACAAGAATTTTATGTATTTTCTCATTTCTAAAACAGGGAATTTGAGTAGGCAGAATTTCTTGCTTCATCAATTAAGATTTCTGCAACGAGGAGTCAGGAACCTTAAAATTTTGATCCTTGTTTATTGTTCAACAAATGTATCAAAATATAACGTTAGGATATAAAAATTTTCTACAGAGTACATGAGAAACATTTTCATTTCTTTGTAATAAATAATTTATCCCCGTATGGTACAACGTAATATAAAAAAGGTGATAGTGCAAGTTGAGGTTTCATTATTTTATATGCAATATAAATACGCAAAATGCTTTTCCGCATTTTCGTAAAACATTCAGTAGAAATAATATCTTCTGAAACTCAATGATAAAGATAATTGTCAAATATTCATAGTGTGGACTTCAGAAAATTAATTTTCTGAGGTCCATATAATTAATACTTAAATATTGATTACACAAACTTATTTGACTACATTATCAATGATAACATTAACTATGCCAATATTCTGTTCATTAAAACTGCTCGTTAACAGGCACAATATGCATCTCGAACCATGGCGGGAAAGCAAGTGTGTCATTGATTAAAATACAGGAACCTTATTCTTGAACCTCTACTAATAAGTTAGTGTGAGTTGCGTTTTCGTAAATTCTACGAGAACGCTCAGCGCAGATGCGGCGAGTCTCTTCGTTGTTTGCTCTATTTTTTAGTGCATCTGCGACGAATCGTGCGGATCAGGGAACATGAGTGCATATTAAGCAGCGTTCAACTATTACAGGGGTCGTACTCTCTCCCCTATTTCCTCTTTTTCCCTTTTTTATGTTGTCCTCTTTTTTCCTCTTAAATCCATAATCCTCCTCTATTTCCCCTATAATAGGAAATTCTTAAACTTACAAAAAATCAGACAACCTTATCAATGGCGAGTATATGATATTGGGTATTAATTGAATCCTTTTTGAATATAAGATAGTGTAAAAAAGCAGATATGCGCGCCATCTCCCGACGCGTATCTTTCCGGGGGCCAGAATTTCGAGACCGAGAATGTTCCGAAATTCTGACAAAATATGTGTCTGAAGATGGCGCGCTAATAATAAACAAAAAAATTAAAGAAATAGTATGCAATTACTTTTACAAAACGCAATGTAAAAACGTATCTCTATATGGAGAAAATATTGTAGTAAAAATTAACACAAAATTGGGCAATGCTGGATCACATTCAGAATAATGATTGAAATTATGATACATGTTCTAATTTTTAGTGATGTATATGATGTATACACATCACTGAAGATTACAACATATATTGTAATTTCGATAATAATTCCTGTATAATCCAGCATTACACACTTTTTTAATAATTTTTACTATAATATTTTCTCCGTGCACAGCTTATGTTCGTTTTCCTTTTAAATTACTTGGTAATTTTTTATATTTTGTTTGGAATATATTTTAAAAATTCATTTTATTATATTTCATACATAGATACATATATATGTACCACTCACAACTTATGTACAAACGTTTTTTTGTTATTTTAGATTTTATCAGAAGTTTTATGTTTCCCAGATAGCAGGGTAATATTAAATGACATATTAATAACGTCATTAAGCATCTTAATAACGTCATCTTATTACTTGGGATATTATATATTGATAAATATATATTGCGTTTTTCAATAAAGATATTACTGTTTTAATAAAAATATTATTTTCAATAAAACTATTGTTCAAATACATCAGTGTTATTAGTCTTTTGATATGAATCTGTTTTTCATCAATTAAAATTTCCTCTCTTTTCATAAAATACTTCTCCTTTTTCTCATCATAATTTTCCCTTATTCCTCTATAATAAAAAGAATAGAGAATACGATCCCTGCTATTATCATCATATGAACATTAGGTTAACATTATATTTGAATCTTTAGAAATAAATAACTAGATTTTTATATTCACAAGAAGCGTCATTTATGTAATGTGTTATGTAGAATACGAGCGCCACATCTCCTATCCTATTTTCTTTCCTATTTCTTCTCTTTCTCTCTGTCACGCGCATGTAGTAAAATGTCAGCCATATAAACTTTCCAAACTTTATGAAGGCTTAAATTTTACTATTTATAAAGCTTTAAGCATCGAAGTAAAATGAAAAGTCGCAAATGTAGCGTTTTTGAAAGAATATATGGACTTATTTCGAAAAAGAATCGCTAATGTGTACGATGGATATTTATTGTTAAAATAATTAATCATCGATAGTCATTCGCGAGTGTATTTTTGTATTATGTAAGATAGTATATCTATTAACTGTTTACATTAATGTCAAATTTATGTTAGATAAGAGGTGTCGACGACGTCGAGAGTTTATATTCGAATAATTGTATAATAATTAATATTGCACTCTGAGATATCAAATTCCGATACATTCGAATTTATAGTTGTTATTTGAGACTTGTATCACGTACTCAAGCCGAGTTTCTCCTTGAGATCTGTCTTGAGGCATGATATAGTAATCTGTTTTCAGACATGATTCACGTGATGTCGCAGTTACAAATCTGGCTTTGTTTATACTGATTATTTAATATGTGTAGCAACTAGTAACTTCGGTAATACATGATTTAGTATATTAGTATATTATTAGATATTATATTAAATTTGCGCGGTCTTGATACATATGATAATATAGCTAATGAATAGAAAAATCCATTTTCCATTATGATTCCTCGATGCTCGCTGTCATATCAAATGGTGATATCAGAGGCAAAGAATGATATATTGAAAATTCTTACGTGTCATTCCTAAATAAAAAGATATTTATATGAAAGTATACTACTCAAAAAAATTATGGCATCAAAAAATTGCGCTGAAAATTGCTCAACTTTGAACAATAATTACTCAGTGACAAATAGTTGTAAGACGATGATTTTTTTTTAAATTAAAGGTTGAAGTCTCAACTTTAACATGCTTTCGGTTGATTTTATATCCAATTCATTCCTACAGCGTGCGATTTCATAATTCAATGGCATGTTTTTGATTTAAAAATTTACAACTTTGACAAAACGCACAGGCTTGGGTAATTTTTTTTCGAAATTTTTATTTGCAGGGAATGAAAGTTTGATTCTTTCATTTAAATAAAATTCAAGTCTCTACGATTTTTTTTCGCGATTTTACAATATATTCTTGAGACTAAATAAAGTAAGAAAATCTAGTACCACTTTTTCTTCCGACAAACAGTTAGCGAGATATCGTAAGTTAAATATTGAGAAAGTTATCAAGTTTTCCTCAAATATCTCAAAAAATATTAGACAAAAAAAAATGTTTTAGACAAAAGTTGTTCAAATTAACTAGTAGAAAAAAATATTGTAATAAAAAATAAGGATTCCCATTTAAAAATGCAAGTTGACCTTTAAATGACCTTGAAAATAGAGGTCAAGGTCAAAGTCAAGGTCATCATAAGGTAGCTCACTTAAATCTCTATAACTTTTATTCAGATCATTTTCCTTGAAACTTCAATACTGAAGAGTTATTTGGGATGGGACATTAAAATGGGACACCCTGTATAGCAAACCCTACTTCCAATAACGAAAATGTAAGAGTTTCTTTAAAACGCTGCAAAATCGCAAAAAAAATCGTAGAGACATGAATTTTTTTTAATTAAATGGGAAGAATCGAACTTTCATTTCCCGTAAATAGAATTTTCGAAAAAAAATTACCCAAGCTCGTGCGTTTTGTCAAAGTTTGCAAATTTTTAAATCGGAAATATGCCATTGGATTATAGGATCGCACGCTGTAGAAATGAATTGGATCTAAAATCAACCGAAAGCATGTTAAAGTTGAGACTTCAACTTTTAATTTAAAAAGGAAATCATCGTCTTACGACCATTTGTCGCTGAGTAATCATTGTTCAAAGTTGAACAATATTCAGCGCATATATTTTAATGCCATAATTTTTTTGAGTAGTGTATATTTCAGATTGCTAGAGTACATTGGCAAGATATTCCGAACATTATATTTTTCTTTTAATATCTTTTAATATATTAATATCTTTTAATATATTAATTTAATATAATAATTTAATAATTTTTCTTTTAATAATCAACCATAAAATGAGCAACATGAGACTTAATTATGTATGCATGGTCATTCCGTACGACCGACCTCATGTTACAATCATTTTACAGCTATTGATTATCTTTCAAACGAGTAGCAGTATTCACAGCATCTTGCAAATATATTCTGATAACCTGGAATATCTTCCATACAACTATCTTTTTATCTGGAAATGGCATACAAGAATTTTGACTACATATTTTATCGCTTTTGACGTCATCCGCGGAGTTATGCGGCGAAAGACCAATCTTAGTTCTCAAAAGATACATTTCTCTGTTAGATAAAAATACATTGTGCAACTTGGAATGAAAATTCTACTTTTGTTCCATTGATTTTACATCATCTGCATATAAAAATTCAAATACTTTGTAAAAAAATAGTGAAGCATCATAAATATCAAATTAGCTCTTATGATAAATTTATTGTTCTACATGATAAATAGACAAAAAGTTGCAACATATCTCGATGGGTTTTGCAGCATATCTCGTCTAGTAGGAGAATCTTTCTTTAATAATTTTCAGAAAGTATATTTTTCTTTACTAAATGTGAGATACATAGGGAAACTGTTATTCACTAGCTGTATCATGTTTAAGGACAGGTCTTAGCTAAGGTACCTGTATTTAAGTATTTTATGTGAAGCAAGTTTTAAATGGCGACTATACTATAAAAATATAGATTTTAAAGATTTATATGAAAAGAATGTTAGTGAATAAGTTATAAAAATGGCAAGATGGTGGGGACAATCGTAAGTCTTTTTCTCTAATGCAAATTCATAAAAAATTGGAATTTTCTGATGCTTCTAAATTAGAAAATTTTCGTGAACTCACGAGGAAAAGATTAATGGTCGACCATCTGTACTCAGTGTCACGTTTGGTGGTAACAAATTAATTCGTAAATTGCACCTGATGTACATTCTGTTCGGTTTGAATATTATCTTCGATACAGCGTTCACAACGCAGTTCAGAAAACGATGTTTGTGAATAATTCTCAGAGAATGAGTTCTCTCACTGGACGTTGTTTCGAAAGGCGTCTTGAGTTATGTTCCAGAATGCATTAAGAAAGTGTCAATGCCGTAATGAAACAGAGTACATAAACTATGACAGATTTTTTTCCTTTTCTTTTTTGTCAAGGATAAATAACTAGGGGCCAGTAGTTAATAGTGCCGAAATTTTGAATTTTTATTCACCGATAAAGTGGTTTATCGAATTAGCATTTATCGAATAACGTCGAGAGATGCACATGCTGCTTGAATAATCAATGATAATGTAAGAAAAAATTATTTTATAGTAGATCTATAATATGTATAATTGGAATTTGTATTAGTTTCTCGATCTGTGCATCTGTCAGTAATTTATACATGTGTATGCGCATGTGTATATATTTATATATACATACATATACACATATAATAAAACGATTAAGTTCATTATAAGTGTGGCTGAAATTAGCGAAACTAAAATACTTTTACTACTATCGACAATTATGTTAAATTTGTTTGTTTACAAATAAAATTTATGTAACTGTTTATATGTATTCATTACGCCTCTCACAATATTCTCATGTGTTCAACACATTTTATTATTTTTTTTTATAATCAGGAATGTGCTGTTGAAAGTTTCATGTGCAACATCAATATGTACAATCTAAATTTTTGTTATAATCGTATAACAATGATCATCACACATATAAGAAATACTTCTTTTGAATAATTGGAATCAACATTACTTAGATACTTCTAACAATAAACATTTCTAGACAACATATTAACAAAGTATGTAATATTCTAAACATAAGATGAATATCACTTTGATTGATCTTTTTCGCCTTCAGGTTGTTCTAGGGATTCTTGAAATTGTTTCCTGGCTTCACGATTGGACTGCAATAAATCAATTAGCTCTGCCCGTATGTTGTCATTTTTCTTCTCTAAATGATCTAAAGCAATTTGCAGATAATCCAACTGGTCCTCTAATGCCTTTTCCATAGCACCTGTGAAATAATGTATATATATAGTTTTGTAAAAATTCACTTTTTTTAAATTATTCATTACTGTCATGCACTTTGACAAAGATAATTTCTTGTTACTGATACTTGTTATTAACATATTTTTAATTCCATATATATTCTACTGATAGTTATTGTTATTAATACATATAATTATTAATTATTCTGTCAAAATCTTTATAATTTTCATTTTTGCAGTATACAAATTCTTGCATAAAATAATAAAGAAAAACTCTATTTAAAATATTCTTAATCAAAATATATAAAATGAAAGAGAGAGAAATAAAAAAATAGAGAATAGAAAGAAATAGTAAGAGTTAACATTTACTTCTGAGTAAATTATTATTTAAATTATTATATAAACATATACATAATACTTCTAAATATATTATTCTTTTTTCATTCTAAGTATATTATTATTAAAATTATTATTTAAATATTTACATATATATTTATATGGGATTATATTATTACATCAAAATCATGACAGATAAAAACAGATAAAAACATGATTGGTCATTTATTGTAATTTTGATACAATAATATGATAGACTATCCATGCAAAATATAAAGAAACTTTAAATATCTTGTAAAAAAATCAACTTCCTAGCCTATTTCCGTGTGTCATTTTATATTCCTGATCTTAAATCCCTATATATATATGAAGTTTATATAAAGAGGTACGCCTTAAAATCTTCAGTTACCACGCATTTTCGAAAATATTTATTTTAAAGATCACATGCTTACCGATATCGTCAGAAAACACATCGAACTCGAGGGACCTTCCAGTGGTACTGGAATAATCTTCACCTTCGGCAAACTCCATTTGCTCATCGGCATTGTCTTGATTGTTTTCCTGCGGCTGTACTATTTCTTGAACCATCTCTTCCTCTTTTATTTCTTTCTCTGGAGCAGGATATTCGTTCCTAACCATACTCTCAGTGGAAACAATGGTGCCTTATAGCGGACACTTTAATCTTACATCTTAAAATAACAGGCCCAACACGTGATTGTCCAGCGTCATCAAGCGGTGTTCTATGAAAACCCGTTAAGTAAGCGGTTTGAGTCTTGATTAAATAAAGTTTGTGCAGAGAGAAACCTGAGAGCGGGCATGGCTGCATTTACAGCGTTATGGAAAAGTTAGCTGATTCGAAGCGCCAGCTGGGTCCATTTTTCATGGACATGAACTACTAAGCCAATGTCCACGATTTGTTGGTACTATTCTGTGCTATGTCCATAATTATTTGGTTCTGTTCTGTGCTATGTTTACGAGCGAGTTAGATTAGTTAGATAAAAACGAAGAATCGGTCTTTGTCTCACCACCAGCGAATAGAAAATCGCGACGAAGCAAGTCAGCAGTGATGTTATCGTAAGGCAGACGTCGCCATCTCCCCTTTCACCCCTTGTTTTCCTTTCCACATTGTTTTATATTCATAATTCGAGAAGAAAATAATTTCGAGGGTTCGGACGATTTCTAGCAATGACGCGACAGAGATAACGCGCGACAATATTAATTTGTCATGACTTTTATATTACTTATAATTACATAAACGCCCATATATGCAAATTATAGATAATTATTGCGCGTATGTTTTAATATTGTACAATGGTATATAATAACAACAACTTCATTTCTTGCAGTAATTTTTTTAAGATCTTCGTTGAGGTCGTGAATTAATTTTTTTCTTCATCAATCAGTTTTCTGCAAAAATTACGATTTTTTAAATAAAATATAAAATATTTCTCTTCTCTTCTCTCCGAAGAGTTAATTAAAAAATATGTACTCCACAGAGTCAACTAAAAAATGTGTAGTCAGAAGAGTCAATTTAAAAATGTACTCCGAAAAGTCAATTTAATAGCGTATTCTGAAGAGTCAGTTTGAAAGCGTACTCTGAAAAATCAAATTAATATTGTGATCCGAAAAGTCAATTTATAATAGAATATTTACTTCGATGATTCAGCTAAAGAAAAAAATATTTATTTATTATTATAGAATATATCAGAGAATAATATTTAATTTATTATTTATACTTATCTTACTTATGCTTACCCTACATATGCTTCTTTGAATGAAAAATTTAATTTGTTGACTGATTCAGATTCAGATTTGTTAAAATATCTCTTATGCGCAACTCTTGAACAGGTAGTAAAATAATTTTTTTTCTTTACGAATTTTATAAACTTTTCACGAACATAAAAATTGAAAGATTCTCAGAGAACAAATAACTTTTCTTGAACATTTAAACCAAAGGAAAATCTTTTCCCATTAATAAAGAATGAATAATTAATATCTCACATCTTAGAGGAATCTTCATCCTTGAAATCACCGTGCGATTTTGCTTTTAGAAAAGTATAATATTGATGTAATAGTAACAAATGCTATCCAAAAATGGTGCAAATCTTAAACGTTTTTGAGAAATGCAGTTTGAAGTTTAGTCTTTTCTGTTAATGTCGTTATAACAGAAGAATTACCAATTTGCTTCAGTAGCGCAATGGATCAGGCTTTGTGATATGAGTGTAGAGGTTGTTCAAGTGTGTATTTTTACTATCACAGGGAGAACTATGTAGAATGTATAATAATACGCAGACAAATTCTTTACATAATCATACTTATTTTTTTTAGCATGAATAAAAATGATCAATGCTAACATGATAAGTGTATATCGCAATTGTACGTGTACACATACACACGTATACCAATGATGTCAAAACCGAACAATTCATGAAAATTTTTTATTGATCGCAATTGTACGCAAAGACGAAAGAGAAGTACACGGGTCTCCGCGGGTATCTCGTCATATTAATTGTCTATGAGCTGATAAGTAATTGATCTCCGGTATTTACAAGTTACGCTTGTCCGCAGCTTGTTCGGTTTTGACATCATTGGTATCAGTGATGCGAATTTAGTGACGGGCTTGCACGAGGATTCTCCTCCCCCCCCCATATACGCGCACAGCCAGCTCGGTCAATCCGTGTGAGCCACGCGATCGACAATTGTCCACGCGCCGAGCGAGCGAGAGAGAGAGAGAATATCATTCCCTCCTTGTCGTTTTCGTTCTTGCTCAGCGAGCGAGCCTAATTCTTTCTTACCCATAATCTGAATCGCGGGCGCGACTGTCTCTCTCTCCTTTCCTCTCTATGACAATACTAAAAAGTTTTGTCTACTCGGCGCACCGAATTATTACAAATAATATTTTATTATTAATAATATTATTTGTAATATATATTATTTGTAATATTATTATTTGTAATTTTATTTGTAATTGTATAATAATGTTACAAATAATACAAATTTTTACAAATTTTATTTGTAAAAGTTTATATCATTTGTAATATTATTTATAATAGTATTAATAATATTCGGCGCCAAGAAAATGAAATATATTTTATTAATTATTTTGCGGAGTCGGTTTTGCGGAGCAGGTTTACAGGTTTGATTATTGAATTGTTTAATAATATTTTAAGAACAATTTTAAGTTATACAAGGATGTAGTATGAAATATAAAAGAATATTGTAACGGAATCAAGAAGTACGAAATGAAACCTCTTTGCTTTTATTACAATATCCTGTAAGTTAATAAATAGCAGGTTTTTATTGAATTAAGTGTTCAAATTGTCTTCCGTCTGCTGCTTGACAATAACCTTATCGTAGATGAAATTCATTTAAAACGTTTCGTCTCATTTCTGGTGAAATAAGATTTACTTGGTGCGTTCCCTAAGGTCTGCCAAGTTAGCAGGTTTCGTTCCGTACACATTAATTTTAACATATCCCTATAAGAAGTAGTCCAATGGAGAAAGATCTGGTGATCTAGAGGGCCACTCTACCTACCACTCACCTAAACCCGCCACGTTCCAAAACGCCACCTTATATACCTTTCTCACCCTTCCCTATTCCCTCCCCTCTCTCCCCTCTCCCTCTTCTCCCCCTGTCTCCCCTCTCCCCTCGTCTCACCCCCTAGTTTCCCTTTATCTCCCACCACTTCTCTCTTACTTCATCCCACCTCTTCATTTTCCCATTCACCCACATCTTCATATATCCTATTTGCACATTCTTGCCCTTCCTTCTCTCTACCTCTGCCTCTCTCTCTATCCTCCATTTTGTCTTCCTCTCTTCTTCTGTTAATCAAAATCATCTTTTATCCTCTCCCTTCTTCCTCTCAGCTCCTTCTTTGCCTCCATCACTTTCCTCTTCTGCTCTACACTACCTAGTTTTACTAGTACCATCCCTTCCCCCTTTTTATCTCCCTTTCCTATCCTCTTCACTTCTCTCACTTCTACTATCAACTCCAATTTCTGCCATATCTTCTTCATTCCCTCCTCCACTCCCTTCTCCCCTATCTCCACCCCCCTTACCACTACATTCCTTCTCCTCTCTATCCTTTCCTTTTTATTTATCCTTATCTCCAACTCCCTTATCTTTTCTCTCTCCTTTTCCCCTAATCTTCCTACCTTGTCCCTTTTCTCCTCTCTTTCTTCCCAACTCCTCAGCCTTTCTTCTATTTTCTTTATCTTTTCTTCTCCCTCCCCCCTCTCCCTCTTCCATTCTTCCCATTCTCTCCTTCTTTCTTCTCTCTCCCTTCTCAGCTCCTCTCTTAGTTCCCTGATCTCTCTTTCTCTCCTCTCCCCCTCCCTCTTCACTTCCTCCTTAAAACTTCTTACTTCCTCCATTAACTTCCACACCATTACTTTCACCTCTCCTTCTTTTATCCATCCTTCCTTCCCTTCTTCCTCTTCCTCTTCCTCCATCCCTCTTATCCCCCCCTCTACCTCCCACTCCTGTGGATCTGCTATCTTTCTATTCTTTTTCATGGCTCTTTCCTCTTCCTCCTCCTCTCTTTCTTCCCTTGTCTTCCTTTTCCCCTCCCACATTACTTCTATACAGCTGCCTGCACTTCCCATGCTACTTGTACTGTCCCTTCTTAACCTTTCCGCATTTGTCGGTCTTCCCCTCCTCTTTTCCATCTTGCCCTCCCCCCTCTATTCTTCCCCATCCTCCCACCCTCCTTCCCTCCTCCATCCTCTCTCCCCTCCTTTCCCGTTCTAACCTTTTCCTTACTTTCCTTTAACCCTCCATTGCCCTCGTATGAGGCAAACGCTCAGTTTACATTTCTTTTTTTTTTAATTACTTAGATGTGGCATAAAAGTTGACTCTGAAACTTTCTGACTTTTTACTTATAACCATTTAGATTATATCTGTATAGTTATTTTCTGAATTATGTTAATACAATTTTTTTAACACGAGAAAACTAAAATTCGTTTTTTTAATCGAGGGCAATGGAGGGTTAAATACACCGCTTCTCTCTTTTAGTTCCTCTTTTTGCTGCCAGCCCGCGCCACCTTTTTCACTCATCTGTCTCTCTCTGTCTTCCACACTCTCTCTGTTCCCTAACCTTATCTGCTCGCTCACTCCTCCGACCCCCCTATCACTTTCCCTTCATTTCCCCCCTTCCAGCCTTTATTCTCCCTTGTCTCTACTCCGTTTCCACACACCCCCCGCCCTTCTCCTCTCCTCCACCATCACTATTTCCCAACGAAATCCTCGTTCACTTTCTGCCCTGTCACTCCTAACTCACAATCCTTTGTCGCCGGAAACGGAACCACTAATAAATTAAATATTATTCTCTGAATATAATAATAAATATTTTTTTCTTTAACTGAATCATCGAAGTAAATATTCTATTATAAATTGACTTTTCGAATTACAATATTAATTTGATTTTTCAGAGTACGCTTTCAAATTGACTCTTCGGAATACGCTATTAAATTGACTTTTCGGAGTACATTTTTAAATTGACTCTTCTGACTACACATTTTTTAGTTGACTCTGTGGAGTACATATTTTTTAATTAACTCTTCGGAGAGAAGAGAAGAGAAATATTTTATATTTTATTTAAAATATCTTAATTTTTGCAGAAAACTGATTGATGAAGAAAAAAATTAATTCACGACCTCAACGAAGATCTTAAAAAAATTACTGCAAGAAATGAAGTTGTTATTATATACCATTGT